TTTGCTAACATTTCAGAATCAAATTTTTTCATTAAAAATCTAAAGGTTTTATTTGAAAATCTTTTTGTATTAAATGTCCTGGTTTTTCTTTAAAAGTTAGAAAATCAAGAAATATTGGTAACAGGTGATTTGTGGGAGTCCAATAAATCACACCCCTATTTTTCCCCCCAGTTGATTTATTGAATAAACTGAAAAATGGGGGGGAGGGAGATTAAAGCAGGTGAAGATCAAAATATCTCATTTACTGCTGACAAAGTCTGTGATGAAAGTTGTGGCTTAGGTAAGCAGAAACAGTGAGCTTCTTGGTATCAGGCCTCAGAAAAGGCTTTTTCACCAGTCACACAAGCACTGGTCCACTGCAGGCCTTCCCTTGAGGGGGTCTGGCTCTGTAACACCATGTGGAGAACAGATTAAAGCACATAACTTCTCAAACCGGCAAATGCCAGGGGGAAATACTAAGAAAGACTCTGGGGTATAAAGTCCAGGTCCTCCTCCAAATTTAACAAACTTTGTCAGTCACTTAACTCTGGGTAGAGTGGATGAGAGCATGGAGAGAAGCCAGGAGGCCTCTCCATGTAGAGAAAGGGGATAAAAGATTTTCTCTGCACCCTTGGGCCTACATTCCATTCAACAACAACAGCTCCCGATTCTGTGGTCGTGGAGCATAGGTTCTGCCCTCACTACAGCCCCTACTACTCATTCATAGCACAGCCAGCTAGCTTTGCTATGTACTTACCTGCCTTCCCTCTCTAGTACTTGTTTGCCACCATAAGTATTGTCAGATGTTATCATTGTGGTTATCACACCACACTGATGGTTATGGAAGTCAAATGGTTCCAGTTCCGACCTCTGGTTAGTAAGACCCAAGAGTTAGAGAACAAAGTCTATAGTTCATGATCTTTGGTATAGGCAGGTGAAATGGACCAAGCCAAGCCAGGATGTATAGTGTAGTCACAGTTAAAACTCAAAATCTATCCACATAAGACTTTGCTATACATGGGAGCTACAAGTTTATTGGAGAAATATAAAATGTTAAGCAGATGAGAAGGAGAGAAGAAATAAAATAGAAGACTCAAATACCCATGGCCCTCTTTACTTGTCTTCTCATGGCTTTACCTTACTATATTCTTATAGCTTTATTTATGATTGGATATTTTATGGCCACCATACAGAGAGCACTCAAAGTTTTATTAAATACATGAACAAAAATATCAAGAATGATGTCTAAAGAAAGAGGCTGTTTAGGATAAGTGATGAGGAAGTGTTCTATCAATTAGAAAGGTACTGTTGGTTTGTATAGAGAGGATAGAGGCAAAGCTGGATAGATGATAGCATCTTAAACAAGTTTAGATTCCTTTGAAAAACCTTCCCTTATCTTTCCACCATCTGCACCTAAAGCAAAATGATCAAACTCTCATCTGAGACACCACTGTTGTTTACATTATATAAATATTTATCATACTATATAGTTTATCTACAGAATAAACTAAATGGTAATTTACATACTTAAAACAGACCTAGTCATTTTGCCTTAAAATTTTTTACTCTAGAGGAGGGAGAGAGACATTACCCAAATAAACAGAGGAACATATTACGCATAGAAAGTTGTTATAAATGCCTTGAGGAAGAATAAAGGAAGATTTTTAAATAAAAAATAATATCATATGACCACTCTGAATGTCCCACTGAAAAGAGGTCCTAAGGAGAAAAGGTTGAAAGCTGATAGAACACTATTTTAAGAGAGAACAATAACAGAAGTAGATGTAAATTAGGAGTGACTGGATTTTATATTGTATATTGATGGAAGGACAATGGAATTTGCCACTGGTTTGAATGTAACTTATAAGAAAAAGAGAGTGGCACAAGTTGAGTATCAACCTATGAATCAGGAGGTCACAGTTCAATTCCAGGTCAAGGCACATGCCTGGGTTGAAAATATTTTTTAAAGAAAGAGAGTGGTCAAGAATCCTAAGATATTTAGTCTGAACAAGTGATTGACTGGAGTGCCCAATTATAGAACAGGAGAAGATGAATATGGATGGAACAGGCTGGGGTGACAGGAAGCACCATTTAGTAATTAACCAGTTGTGTTTTTTGTTTGTTTGTTTTTGTCTGTTTCCCTACACTCTATTGTGGACTCCTCTATGACAACAGTTTTGTCTTCTTTCTCTTCATATCCACAATACCTAGCAGTGTTTTATACAAAGGAGGTGTTCATTCATTTCCTTAATGTTTAATGAATGAATGAATGAATGAATGAATGACTTGGAGACATAGAGTGGTTTTTTTTCCCCCCCTTGAACTCCTATCAGTGCCACTGGAAGCATAGATTTTATTGAATCACCACTGACTTTCCAGCACCTAAAACAAAGATAGTACAAAATGTTATTGAATAAATATATTCTTGTCCTATTCTTCCTATTAATATTTCTGGTCTCTGTCTTTGGTTCTGGTTAGCCTGAAGGAAATGAAAAAGCAAAATGATATGTGTTTAAACCATTTTTTAATCACTTGATGAAAAGTTGGAAAACAAAATTTGTACTTCTTATTACCAATTGGTAGCTATTAATACTGTCAAATCTAACAATTTTAAATATCCAAACCTCTCCCTGAACTTTGGGTCATTACATGTTTTTCCCCAATTTTACAGGAATTTCATTTAGAATGCCACTAGCATGTCAGGGAATACTTCCAAGCACTCAAACGTGTTCTCGTGGTTTAAAAGAACAGATAATCTGGCTTTGCGTTTAAATCTTATTAAGATACTAAACAAATTATTTATTGAACTGATTCTAATTTTCTCTAGTTTGAAAATCACTTTTAAACATCCATCCATTTGTCCTGGGCAGTTGCCAAAGGTAACAAATGCCTCTCAGCTGGGGAACAAGCTGCCACCTTTTTCCTCCAGATCCTTTCAACCCTGGAGATTAGCTCCCACTTGACTAAGAGCTAAAAGTCAGACCTGTCCTTGAATCTTCCTTTCATTGTAGAGCAGCATTTCTAAATTGCTCTTTCCTTCTTTCTTTCTTTTTTTTCTTTTCTTTTTTTAGAACATCACAGTCTGGGAAAATACGTTTTGAAAACTGTAGTCTGTTCTCTTTGAGAGATGAATAATGCATTTAAATGCCCTGTGGTTAAAAGAATTCAACTTTAAAACCAGGGCTTCTCAAACCCACATGACTGCAAAATGCTTTTGTAATAGAGTATCATTAGTAAGTCAGAAGAAACAGTGAGGTCTTGTGGATGCTCTTCTAAAGAGTTAGTTAGGCTTGGGCATATACTGATAGGAGACATTCCTCTCACATCACCTCAAGTGTGCTAGATTCTTCCCTTTAAATAACTTCCTTCTGGAGAAATCGAGAACCCTAGGCTCGTCACTGGAATTTCCACCACCCACAGAAAGGGATAATAGGAAAATAGCCATGGCTTGAATGACATGTTTCAAGATTTTGTCTTAGCTCTGTCACTTGTTACCTGTGTGATTCCTTTGATAGGTCCTTTACATGATCTGAGTGTTGGCTTTCACATTCTACAAACTAAAAGTAATAAGCTATACCCTACTCATCACACATGATTGCTGTAAGAGTTAAGTACATGTAAAGCAAAATTATAATATTTCCAGAAAGTTTTCTCTTTATCAGTGCTATTCAATAAAGAGATGTGAGCCACATATGTAACTTTAAATTTTCAAATAGCTACATTTAAAAAGGAAAAATAAGTGAAATTCATTCTAATTCTAACACATTTTATTTAACCCAAATACATACAACATCCTAAATAATAAATCCCTAATATGCAAATCAACTGAATGGTGGAATGACTGGTCACTATGATACACACTGACCACCAAGGGGCAGATGTTCAATGCAGAAGCTGCCCCCTGGTGGTCAGTGAGCTCCCACAAGGAGAGTGCCACTCAGCCAGAAGCCAGGCTCATGGCTGGCCAGTGCAGCGGTGGTGGGAGGGAGCCTCTCCTGCCTCCGCAGCAGCACTAAGGAACTCTCGGGGGATGTCTAATTCTAAACCAGCAGTTGGACTTCTCCCAAGGGGTCCCAGACTGCGAGAGGGCACAGGCTGAGCTGAGGGATCCCCCCCCCACCTCCCCTGCATCACCCAGTGCATGAATGTCGTGTACCAGGCCTCTAGTATTAATATAAATTAGGCAATACAATCTATATAAAACTAATGAGATATTTTACATTCTTATTTTTTTGTACAAAGTTTTTGAAAGCCAGTGTATACCTTATACTTACATGGCATCTCATTTCAAACTAGATGCATTTCAAGTGTTCAATAGTATATTTTGCTAGTGTGGCTATTAGCAAAACTTTCCTAGAGAATGCCAGTGTATTTATTTTAGTAAATTCCAGAGTAATAGTTTTTAAACATTACTGTATTCCTTTTTTGGGGGGTTTAATCAAATAGCCTTTTCCCCCCTTTACAACTTCTAGAAGGTACTTGCAGTCTTTGACCAATATCTATCTTCAAAGCCAGCAATGCTCTATTGAGTTTTTCACACATCACACCAACACTCACTCTTCTGCCTCCTTGTTTACACTTAAGGCCCCTTATGATTACCCTGGGCCTACCTATATAATCTGGGATAATTTGTTTTAAGGTCATCTGAATTAGCAACTTTAGTTGTATCTACTACCCTAAATCCCCTTTGTCATATAGTCATAGGTCCCAGGGAATAGAACAGGGACTTCTTTGGGATGCCATTGTTCTCTCTACCATTATCAAAGGATGCTATGAAAATTGTTTTCCTCTGCCCCTGGTGGAAATCTCTAGATCACATAGAGTTATCAGTTCTTTAGTAATTTAAGCAACTCCAAAACATATCCTCCTGAATATTTTCAGCATTCCTAACTGACTGATATTCAATTTAACTTCTTCTATCTCCCCAATTAGGCCTGCCACAGGCCTGGAAATCTGGAGTGGGTTGGGAGGTAGGTGTATGATGAACTTCAACTTGCTTCTTTACCATTTCTTTCCCATAGCAATAGCTGCTATATTCTATGGAGCCAATCTCATGGAGGAGAGATACTGCTTATAAGCTTGAACCTCTGGCATTGGTTCCCATTAAAGCCAAACACAATTGCTAGCACTTTGTTTCACTGGGTGCTTATATGGGCTTCTTAAAGATTCTCCAGCAGGAACTTCCATCTGAACTTCCTCTCACTTAGCTTCCTGAACTCTCCTCACAGTCCTGGGGTTCTATCATTCCTCCCCTCTGTTGGGGTCCCAAGGATCTTCCAGTCAGTCAAATTGGACAGCTGACCTCAGACTAGCTCCCTTCCATGGTGGAAATGCAGTTTGCTCCCATGTTGCCCTTAGTGCAATCTCGTCTTAGCTTATAGCTTTTAGACTTTCCGAGCCTGATTAATAAAACTTAAGTTTACCAAACTCCAAGGCGTTGTGTACAACACACCAAATGTCTTCTTAAAATTCTCTTCATTGGCTTAAGGTGAGATAGAAGAACACCCTACCCCACTGGATGAGATGAATAACAAATAAAACATAGGAGCAACACTTTTCAAAACAGTCCCTTTTACTTGCTTCTTCATATGCAGTCTACAGTGGGATGATGGGATGCTTGAGCAGAACTACATTTGCAATCTCTTCTTATGTTGTGAACATGCTGTCAAGGACTCAGCTTTATGTGATGCCCTTGGCACCTAGTGAACTGCTCTTAGCCTTTGGTGTCTCAGTGGAAAGTGAGACATATCTATATATTATATATTACACTAAAATACTTTATATTTATGCAAGTATATCAGGCATTTAAACAAATTGCTGGAACATAAACATTTGTAGTGAAGAAATCCCCACCCTAAGGAACTTTCTGGAATTCACTGAAATACCTAAACCTTTTATTTTATAACTCAGGAAAGAGGAAGCATTTGAGTGTGAGGCCAGGGTACACTGAAAGAAGAATAGAGAGATAAGATAATAAAGCAGAGAAGTGTGGAATAGTTTCTGTCCCATTTCTATCCCCTTGTATTGTGATCCTTCTCTAGTATTTGGAAGGATGTTGGCCAATAAATGGAAGACATACTTTGTTGGAGACCTTGGTCACAAGCCATGTCCATCTGGGCCAAGTTGACAAATGTTGGTAGAGAGTGGGGGTGGGGGGTGGGAAAAGGCATTTTTCTCTCCTCTGCATAGAGCCTAGTTCTATTTTAGCATTTCAAGAATAAGTGGCCTCATGATTGAGAGACAGCACCCAAGACATGGGCATCCTTATTGCCATGTGGGTACCAAAAACAGTGGCAATGGGACAGGTTGTCCACATCAAGTCAAAATAAAAGAAGAGTAAGTAGATCCCGTCTTCTGACTACATGCTAACGTAGGAAGCTTAGAAGTACAGACAAAGCTAAGAAACTGTTATTGACATCAATGTAGTGTATTCAAAACCCAGAATATTCAGGATAGGATTTTGTAGTTTACAATAGACATTGCAATATTTCAAGTAACTAAAGAACAGGAAGATTGTTAAGCAAATAATAGAAGAAAAAATATGAAACTATAACCCCTAGACATAAAATTGTACCAACCTTAAATACACTGAACTGACTATACAAGATATTTTTCTTTTGCTAATTTGGTATCTCTTCTTGGGATCATATTTACAGGCCCCAACTTTCAAATAGGAAAAAAAAGTATTGAGTAATATTTTTTTTAATTTAAAAATATTTTAAAATAAGAATCACATAACACCAAAAAAAAGTTTTCTAGACACAGGAGTGAATTTTTCAGTTTTTGTGCAGCTATTCAACACAATACAACACAGATCTGTTCTGAATCATTGTGGGCAGGGATCACTAAGCTCAGATACACTTACATCACCCACATCTTATTTTAGCCTTCCCTTTGATAATATTTAGATCATCTGCCCACCATCCAGGAACTGAAGAACTTGGAAGAGAACTGAGGAAACAAAGGGAGCTTATAAAGTCTACGTATTGTTTGAAAAACAGGGAGAAGGGATATGAGAGAGAAAAAAATGAAAGTGGAGAGATTGGCACATTTTCAGCATTAAATAAACATTTTGAATAGGCTAACCTTTTTCTTAATGATGATTACACATTCCTAAAACTGCCATGGTTAACCTCTTGCTTCTTTTGAAATACGTATCTCTCTGGATATCTATCCATGCAGATACTTTCTCCTTCCCACTTCCTATTCTCTAATGGCCTTCTCAGGGCTATTACTTGGCACCTCTTGTTTTCTGACCTCTATTTTTTTTTATTGAATTTATTTTGGGTGAGAATGGTTCATAAAACCATACAGGTTTTAAGTATATAACTCAATAAAACATCATCAGCACATTGCATCATGCATTCATCACACAAAGCAAAGTCTCTTTCCATCCCCATTTATCCCTCCTTTGCCCACCTGCACCTACCCTCGAACCCCTTTCCCTCTATCACCTCACTATTGTCTCTGTCTATGTGATATATGTGTTTGTTTGTTTGTTTTTTGCTAATCCCTTCACCTTCTTTTATCCAGAACGTCCTCCCCTCTGACAGCTGTCAGTCTGTTCCATGTATCCATGCTTCTGTTTCTATTTTATCCATATCACCTCTTCTTAAATGTAGGCAGTCTCTAAAGTTCCATTCTCTACCCTTTTTCCTTCCTTCCTAAGCAATATATGTAGACAGTGTTTCATACCAATGATTTCAACCACTAAATGAGCCATAAAGATAAACTCAACATGACCCAGCATGTGCTCACATTCTCCATCTTGGGTTCATCATCTCACCATTTTCACAAATTAGGAACCTCCAAGTAGCTTAAGCTATTTGCTTTTTTTTTTTTTTTATGCTCCCAGCCAATTAATCAACAAATCCAATTGATTTTACCCTTGTGCTGTTTCCTGTAACTCTTTGATACCAAGGCTGTCTCTGCTTTACGGAACTCTACCTTTAAAAAAAAAAAACTTCCCAGCCAAAACCGGTTTGGCTCAGTGGATAGAGGGTCAGCCTGCGGACTGAAGAGTCCCGGGTTCGATTCCAGTCAAGGGCATGTGCCTTGGTTGCGGGCACATCACCAGTGGGGGAGGGGCAGGGGAGTGTGTGCAGGAGGCAGCTGATGTTTCTCTTTCATTGATGTTTCTAGCTCTCTATCCCTCTCTCTTCCTCTCTGTAAAAAATCAATAAAATAGATATTTAAAAAAAAATTCCCAAATGGCTCCTTGAGTCTCATCATCTTCCCTCTATTTATCATACAAACACCATCTAGTCATCTCTCAAAAATACAGGCATGATCATAGGACCTGTTGGTTTAAGCTTCTGCTGTCTTTCATCTTCTCTAATAAAAAAGACCAAATATTTGACATTGTCTTCAAGTACCTTCACAATTGAAACCTAAATGGTTTTTTTAGTACTTCTCATTAGTACTTTTGCTGGTAGTCTTTATTAGCTCTGTGCTATTAGCTCCCACCCCAAGTTTATCCCTCTATTTATTCACCATCTCATGAACAAAAACAAAATAAAACAAAACAAAACTGCATAAAACCTTAAATCCTTCTGAACTCACATTGTTCTCTTCATATGGACGATCATTTTCACACACAGATACTGGGTAACAACAGCGACAACTACATTTATTGAGCACTTACTGTTAGCAGGTACTATTCGAACAGCTTGTCATTTATTAAGTCATTTAATCCTCACTCAACCCTCTGAGGTAAGTAGGATGAGTTCCATGTCGGGCATGAGGAAACTGAGGCACAGAATGGTTAAGTAATTTATCCAGAGTCATACAGGGCTGACAAACATTTAATGAAATTCTAATATAAGCAAGGCGTTTCATTTTATTTCATTTGACTATTAAAACCATGTTATGAGGGAGGTATTATTACATAAATTGCACAGGAAATTGGGGTTTACAGAAGTCTGCCTCCAAAATCTTTGCTATTTTCATAATAAAATGCTTCCTCTCATTTAAGGGGAAATCACAAGCTTTATTGTTAGAGTGAAATTTGGGGATTTCCCATTTAATGTAGTATTATTTTCTCCGTGATGCTTTTAGTGGGCTGGCCAATTGATGATGCTAAGCAGGCCTGGGTTAAACATTCTGTGATGTGCCAGCTGGAGCAGTCAGCCAAGGAAAATGGGTTTGTAAGAACATCTAAATTACGAATCTGTTTGAGACATCCAGCCAGCATAGATCTGATAGCATCATTGGCTGAGAACAATGTTTTATAATAACCAATCTATGGACTACACAGGCAGTGTGTAATCTTTAGCTTGTGTTTCCAGATATACTTTGGAAAATCAATACCTGAGACCTTGTTTAAAGCAACTGATTTTGGATTTCAGGTTTTCCTATTTTTAAATTATTCTCCTGAACCAGTATGTTTGGTTATAAGTAAAGACATTTTGGCCATCACATTAATGAAGGGCATTTTCTCCGACCGTCATGTGGTAGGTTTCTCTTGTCTCTTCTAATCGGGCTGCAGAAGAAACCAAATCACTCAGACATTGAACAAAACACATTCCCATCCCCCCTCCCCGCCAAGCTGGCTGATATTTCTGGGTAACTCAAGATGACATTTTGTAGCTCAGTGTCAAAGACTGAAATAAAAAAAAAGTGAAATCACTGCTCACATGTTGCTATATGTAAAATTAAAAATCTACAAATTTACCAACAATGTCTCACCTTTTGGTCAGTGGCCAAAGATGAAATAACATACTTAGCCAAATGGGAAAGAAAAAAAAAAGATGATTATGAAAGTAGTCTGGGAGATTATGGATCACTGGAATGTTTTAGAAAAGGCCTCTTTCCAGCATTATTGTTTGAGAATGAGGCTAGTGAGAGCCAACAGGCTGTGTGCACTTCAGTAATACCCACAATAATTGCTGGCAGATGTATCATGTGGTTTCTCATTAAAATTTTAAAGCAGAAGCATTTAGTTTGGTCCTGTAGATAATGATGAATTTGTGCAGTAACTTCTAGATACTGGTTGGTATGGTGAAAGGTGAAAAGTCCCATCGAACGACAACGTACTGCTACTACAACTATACAAAACTTTTATCTTTAAGAAGTCTTATTTCTGGTCAGTGGCACTTCTGTTATTCTCCTGCCAATTATGCTCAAATTTTCAGCCTCTTTTGAACATTTCTCCTGTCTCTCAACACACATTTCCCATGTAAATCTTATTCAGTCTCCTTTGTCAGTCTTGTTCCCACTCTCAGCTTCAGAACTAGACATTATATTATATTTTTCAACTACTTCATTTTATTTTATTTTTTGTAATTTTTTTTGTAAGTAGCTTTAATTAGAGATCTTTCTCCAGGGTGGCAGAGAACAACTTTTTTAAAGTTATGTGTCTTCTATCCAGAGAGTCCATTTCCCAGTCCTTCCAGCTATCTTGGCCATGTGACTAAATTCTCACCAATGAAATGTGATCATAAATGATGGAGCAACTTGTGCATCCCTTCCTGAAAAGGAAATCACTTGTCCTCTGACTTCCTCTCCTTCCGTTTCACTAGCCTAGTCCATACTCATGGCAATGAGCCAGTTTCCATCC